TTAAGTGGTCAGTGTTTTCACATTTGTTATACTACTACACATTTACATTTTATTGTTTATTCAGTTTTTTCCCATTTATTGTACCAATGGCAGACTATAATATTTTATTACCCAAAAAGCACAGCACTATGCTGCATTAAGCAGAATAATATTGGAAAGGAAGTACAGCAAAGTGCACACACATTAATGTTATAGGTTACAGGCCATATAACTTGTGATTTACTGTTAGTGTAATGCCAATGCGTTTGCACTTATTCTTATCACATAAAATTAGGTTCAGTGGAATGGGAAGCCTCTAGCAGTCATAGGGCTAAATGGTGTGTCAGCACATGTTAAATTAAATCATGGAAACATTAATTCCTGTATAGCCAGGGCAAGGAAACTGAACAGATTTGTGCTTTCAATTAACAGTAGGTTTTGTATGATGACATTGATTAAAAGAAGATCCCCTTCATTAATTGCATCGCAGAATACAAGGGACCCTCATTTTAATATTGTATAAAATGGAATATATTTTTACATCACACAAATGTCATTGTATGCCAATTTGAGTAAAATTTGCACTTTACACTTAAATAGCTTAGCTCCCAACCCAACTTCTAGCTATTTGCCATCCTGGAACACAATCTAGCTTTAGGGTTGCAAAAAACAAAAAGAATAGGGCTACCAGATTTGGTATCCTATTAGCCGGCACCTGCCAGAGTCTTCTAGCAGGCCCCGGCCAATGAATAAAAACTGGGTGGAGCCGGCCATGATGTGACGGCTGGCTCCGCCCAGTTGTTATTGTTCAATGACAGATCAGTGTCCCCAGGTCATTTGGGGTCGCTCATCTGTCATTACAACTGGGCGGAGCCAGCCGTGAGATCACTGTATACTTATTGCTGACATGATGGTTTTCATGTTCCTAAAGGTAATTGGGCTGTTCACTTTTCAAGGAAATTTCACATTAGCTTAGTAAATGAGGTAACGCCCAGTTGACTTCAATCATCCAATTATGTGCAAGCAAAAATAATGTTGTTTTTTTTTCATTGCATATGATTGAGTATTTTTGTATAGTGAGTTTTTTTTTACCACATTCACTTAGCTAAGGAAAATTCCAACTATTATCAATATACTTTAAACCAAAAATATATAATTAGATAGTAACTTAAAGATGTCTTATGTGCAATAAATGTATTAATGCCTAATTCTCCTCTGGATTACATAACATTTACCCATTAAATAACTGCCACTGAGATGTTGTAATGCTTAATGAAGTATCCTTCTGAGGACAAAGTACAGTGCATTTCTAAGATATATTATGTATCACCACAAATATATAGCTAATGTGATTTTAATTATCATCTAGTTAAATCATAAGGAGATAGTGGACCTCTGAGTCCAAGGCCTGACAGCCATAAGAAACGGCAATGAAATGTTGAGATGACTATTAAGGATAATTAATAATATCTACTTTCTTATAGACAGGTCTTACAACATTTTCACAATATTACAGCAATAACAAAAATGATCAGGCAAAAAGTATGTTTATAGCATGCATAATACATTTTCAGCCTGTAAAGCTGTAATATCTGTAGGTATATTATACAAAATTAAAATGTAGTATTTGTGGCAAGAAAGATGGAAAAACTAAAACAGTATTAAAAGTTTGAACCTTCCAGAGCATTTCATCGCTTCCAATTCAGCAGCCTTCTGAACAATAAATGGTTTGTCAAACCCAGAAGACTCAATTAAAAAGAACCAAATTTAACCACACACCAGGAAACCTTGCTCAATACAGTTTATTGCAACAGGTGATCTAGCCCCAGACTGTATGCTCTCTGTGAGATGTTTTACTCTGTAAATGTCTTTGACATAGCCCCCAAGATGCTTTTACCCCCAAAAACATCTAAGGCAGCCATTGTGTAAAATACCCTCTTCCTCCCTTCCATCTAGCGGTGCACAGGAAATACTGTAGTGGACAGTTCAGGATTCAAGTTATTCATGCATCAAAAGCTTTCTTTTATTTTTTCTTTAGCTGAGCTATTTTCTTTTTTCTTTTTACCCGGAAATCTACTATAATCATATGACTTATACAGAGAAAAACATGTCAGCGAGAAGAGCCAGTTTGTGGATTCATCACATGTCCCAATAAACTGTTATGAGTGTACACATCCTTATGTGCAGTCAAATTTCTTCCTATTAAAAGCTTCTAAGACATTTAATTTATTTAAAAATATGAAATTGACCTATTCATAGGCTATGTATCCCTAACTTTTATTAGAGCAGGTTTAACATTTTGTGCTTAAAACCTATGCTTTGACTCTTTGACTTCAAACCATTTCTGGCCCTTTGAAATATTTTTCCTCTGAGCACACCTTTCATGGACCGATGAGCCAACTTCCCAAAACTGTAGCATGTAGCCCCAGCATGAATTTTCCAAGTCTTTCACAATGACTTGTTATCTGCTCTTGAGTGGTCAGTTGTTTTTTTGGGTTTTTTTTTTTATATTGGTTGCCCAGAATATCTTTTTATCTAGAAAATAGGTTGTAGTTTTTAAAGTTTTTATTCTTTTTTATAATATTTAGGTTGAAAACTACTCGATCTTGAAAAGCACCTCTTAATCACCTACTTCCTTCAAAGCACTAACATGCATCGCTTAACCCTTATTTGTCCTTGACATATGTCAAGGATAAAAGGATGACTTGCATTCTCTGATGATTACTAACGCTCTTATTCCAAAACATCTTCTCCCTATTTATTGTTAAGAGTAAAGCCAGAGAAAATCCTAGCTCAGCACTGAGCCAATAAACCATCTCTAATAAATGAGTAGAACGCTAAACCTTTAGAGAATACAAAATAAATAACACATAACATAGGTAGAATGTTCACAGATAAATCAGGTGCTCAGTTAGTCTATAAAAAGCCAGACAAATGGACTGATATATTACCTTTTGCCAATAAAATATATTTTTGTACATAAAAAAACTATTGGCTATGATCATGCACTGTATTTTTCCAAATTATTTTTCAAGATTGAACTGACTACATTGCCATAAGAAAATAGAATAGTAATCTCACAAAAGTGCATAGATTCATTATTTTGATGTTTCAAGGATTTTCTTGCTCACATTTCCGGATTGCTTATTTTAAAAAAATTATACCTAATATTTTAAAATGTGAGTACAAAGTACATTCTATTCTTGATATGGAATTAAATGTTACATTAGCATTTATGTAATCTGTTCTGATGGGTCCATCCATGCATTGATGCATGTTCAAACCTGGGAATATATCCGATTAAAAGAGAGGTTCAAAATCACATGTTTGTTAAAGCATATGCACTATCGATCAAAAGTTTATACAACACCCTCATTTTTTTAAATTGAAGTTTATGCAGTTTAATGTCTCAATGTACTTTGAAAATAAAGCATACAACAAATAAACAATTCAACATTCAAAAGAAATAACGGAATCCTTTTCTTACCAAAATGTAATCTACATGTTTGACTCATCAAAGTAGCCACCTTTTGCAGATATTGCAGCCAAACACACTTGTGGCATTCTTTCTACAATGGAAATCAGATTTTGTTCGGAAAGTTCTTGCCAACACTGTTGCCAAAGTTCCCACAAATGTGTTACACTTGTAGGTTGCTTTGCTTTCACCCTTCTGTCCAGTTCATCCCAGACCACCTTGATGGGGTTTAAGTCTGGAGACTGTGCTGGCCATTCCATGATTTGAAGCCTACTGTTCTTTTCTATCTATCTATCTATCTATCTATCTATCTATCTATCTATCTATCTATCTATCATTCTTTTCTTCTAAGGTAGTTCTGACCAGAGGGTATTGCATGGTGCTGCAAAATCCTGTGGTAGTAGTGTTGGTTTAGGATGCCACTCTGTGCAAGTCACCAATTCTGGATCCAGTACAGAATCCCCAGACCATCACTCTTTCTCATCCATGTTTGACAGTTGGTGTCACACACCGATAAACTATCCTTTCGCCTACTTGACAGTGTACAAAAACCCTGCATGATGAACCGAAGAGCTCAAATTTTGATTCATTGGTCCATAAGACCTTCTTCCAGTCATCAGTAGCCCACTGGTGGTGCTTCATGGCCTCGTCAAGCCTAATTTTCTGATTTTGTCATTTTAGCAATGGCTTTCTTACTGCCACTCGACCTGTCAAACCTGCAGCTCAAAATCTTCTCTTCAAGGTTGAAACTGAGACTTGCTTACTTCGATCAGTGTTAAACTGTGCTTGAAGCTGTTATCCTGTGAGTCATCTGTCACACAAGCTGTTGACTCTCAAAAACATGTTTTCTGATTCTGTTGTTGCTTTGGGTCAGCCAGAGCTCTTCCTGTTAGAGTTTCCCCCAGTTTCCAAATGCCTTTTGATGGTGTAGGAAACTGTACTCATTGACACCTTGGCTTTCTTTGCATTTTTTTGTAAAGGAAATACCTACACTTTTAAGGTTATAATGGTCTCTCTATCTTCTTTTGTTAATTGCATTTTCTCACCATTTTGAGAGCTACTTTCTGCAGTACAATACTGTCCAAATATTGCTTAAGAGGATGTAGTAACACTATCTGTTCCTGTGAGTAATCAACAAATGTTGGGACATCTGTAGGATTTGTTAGCATACATTTTCAAGGCTTAATTTACTTACATTGCTGCAGAACAACTAAGAGTTGTTAACCCATTACTTCTTCACTGAAAAGGGCCTTTTGGTATAACTCTGAAATTTACATTATTTTTCAGTTTTTACTAACCTAAACTTCTTTTTTTCACCTCTGGCAGTTTACCACTTACCTTTGTCAGGTTATTCACTGGACTTGAACTGCTTACATTTCAATAAAAATGGGAAAAATGGGGGTGTTCTAAAACTTTTGACTGGTAGTTTATGTTACAATATATGAAAAAAAATTACAACTTTAACAGTGTTAAGTGACAGTGGTCTTAAAGAAAAACCCAACAAACATTATATCTGCAAGATACAGTTCAAAAATGGCTTGGCCAGCTGATTTGAAAAATGTTCCGGAGGGCTTGGCAGCGAAAGGGTTAAAGTGGGTGCATGATGGGTGTTTGGAGTAAGGGAAGGGTTTGAACCTCCATCAAGTTTTTATTGCTGTCTCCTCTCTGATCCTGTGTGTATTTCAATGCTTTAGCTACATTGTGGCATTTGGGGTTGTTGGTATTAGCCAAGTCCAGATATACCTGCCTTTTTAGAGTTAAACAAATTATGCTTTTTATGGGTTACCTGAGCACAGTCCCAAAACACACCCAGGTACCCCTTGATTGCTAAAAGCAATGTAACAAAATACAAAAAACTGGAAATGTATTTGTGGATACACAATGCTTGTAAACAGTCTATTAGGGATCTATTTATAAAGGTTTTGAATCAAGATGTACACAACTTTCACCCAAGATAAACTTATTTTCCAATATGATTTAATTAGAAACATGTTTGAATCTTGGGTAAATCGTGTGTGATTCATGTTTGAAAACCAGAAATAGACCCCTGAGTGTCACCCATACCGTTTATTAGGCAGGTGGGCTGGTATGAATTTTAAACACATCTTTTCACATGGTACATAAGACATCATGCACAAAATCACAAGGTATTAGTTTGTATTTTAGACAAAGTATACTTGCCCTTTTGTGTGGTATAAGTCCAATTCATTAAATAATATTCTCCTCTCTGATACCACACTTTTCTACTCACAAGATACCATTTTTTTATTACTAGTTTAAATGTGCTTGTAATGTGTAAAAAAAGCAAAAATAACATCCTGTTTTAATTTTAGATTGACAATAATAAATCCTAGATAATAAAAAGAAGCACATTTTTCTACTTTTTCTTTTAACTGTATTATAATGATCTCCCTCTTAAGAACTAAATTGTTTGGAGGGATATCAAAACTCATAGGTTTAAGGTATCAATAAAATTCAGATTGCCTTTAAACACTAGTCAGTTATACAACGTCCATTACTCGCTTGTGGGTGCTGCATAAACACACATGTATGAAGCTGTTTGTACATGCCATGGACTTCACCTATCAGGATAGTCTTATCTTGGTTTAGAGTACTAAAGCTAAATTAACTGAAATGCACCTGCTGCAGGTACCTGCTTCAATGTTGGTAAGCCCAGGTAGCCAGTTTTCATGTGATAATGCTTGTGGTTTTGCTGGTTTTGGCAGGTTTGGACACTGATCTTCTAATGCCTATAGGTATCTTTACTTAACATTTAAAGTTTTTAGGTGACAAGACTGTGACAAGTGTGAAAATATCAATTACCCTTTATGTTACCTTTCATAAGATGATCTTATTTTCTTAGAGATGTCATTGATAAATATTTTTATTTTTCCACCTGTGAGTATATTTCTACTTTTTTTTATCATGCAGTTGAAATTTTCAGAGTCAGACTATTTTGGAAATGTTCTACAAACATTGCACTTTCTAGCACAATCTGATTTCTCCTGGCTAAGAAAAGAAGTTCCTAAAAAAGAGTAAGTGACATTATTTGTTTGTCAGTTGTGTTTTTTTTGGTTCGTCAAGCTATCCATTCCAGATGTTAACTTTCTTTTAGCTAATATATATTGATAGTGATTCTATAAGCGTTTAGGTTCTCTTGTAATCATTACAAACACAGTGCCTCTGCTGCACTGAAATCCCAAGGAGAGCAGCTGAAGCTAGATTAAGGCTCCATTCGCATATAGCATTTGCATCACCGCGCAGTTTTCCATGCAGAAGACCACACGCACGCAAACGCTAAAATCTTTACAACCTCACGGATTCTGCTTAGTTGTGGCTATTACTATAGCCACGAACATGTGGAATCCACCATAAAATCGCACTTGTACTATTTTGCAGGACGCACGGTCTTATGCATTGTTTTTTACATTTAGAGCATTTTCACACAGCTGAATATGCGCAGACAACCGCTCCTGTGTGAATGAAGCCTAATTCTGTAAACTATGGGAGACCTCCCCCTTTGTTATAGAGCTGGTGAGAGGGGGAAGTACAGTGTAGTGAGTCAACATTGTCACCCTAGGACAGGAAACATGTTACTGGAAGGCTCCACATATAAAGGAAAGCTTGAAAAAAGACTAAAGACTGGTAAGCTCCAACATATTAAATGTTTTACAATTTTATTCTTGGTTTTAGATACACTTTAGTACTCTTGATATGTTATTTGATTATATTCCAAAACTCCTGAGCTATTTAAGAAAAACAACACCCCTTTTGTCACAAAAACCACTGTCAGTGGGCCTACCAAATAGTCAGATACACATGGAATAATTTTAGAAGAGATCTTGTCATCTTCTACTATTCAGCGTGGCATAGTTAGGCAGGTCTGAATGTGCTCCAGTGACATAAGAGGACCTTTTTGCACCAGCTTTAAAGTGTATGTCAAGGCAAAATAAAACATACATGCATGCAGTACATCTCTGCAATACATGCACATTTCCCCGATTTTTATCCCTTTAAATATCCTGTAAGCATAGACAAATTCATGTTTTGCCGTAAAAGCCCTCAGTTCTTAATTTCCTTTTGTGGACTGAATGTTGTCAGCCCTGCACATTGTCTTATACTAAAGTACTCGGCCACACACAATATTTAACTGACCAAAGGGGAGCAAATAAAAGAAGTTAATTGTTAGGATTTACATACAGTTTAAGACTTCCTGCAACAGATAACATCACTACGGCCTTCTCTCTTCTGGTTTTATTTCATCCCCCATTGTTTTTTACTGGCTGTTTGTTTCTTATTTGCTGCTCAGTGTCTTAGTGTGGTTAGTAACAGTAATGGGGCCCTACAGGTTTTCTCGTTCTGCATCTTGGGCCATTTATACCCAGTTGAGCTCTGTTCTTACTGTTTTTCAAAGAACTAAAGCATAATACATATTTTATTGCACATTGTCCTCAGTATTAAGCACAACACATACACTATAATATAATATAACAGCAGTTAATATGAATCTGAAGTGTCACATAAGTACCAACTTTGTCTACATATAGGAGACACCTGCAGAACGCTGCATGACAGGCCCATCTTTAATGTAAGTACCCCTGCTTCTTGGAATGCTAGGTTTTCTGAAATACACTTACATCCTGGGTTGATGGATTGGAAATCTGGGTACACTGAATCCGAGTTTTCACTATTGGCCTATAACTATGATAGGCAGCCTCACTCACCAATAGTGAGGCTTAGAAGATGATACTTTGATAGGGTTACATGTGACTGTTGACAAGTCTGGAATGCTGGGACTGCTAGATCTTAAAAGCAATACAAATTGATTTTGCTGGTAGTTAGCAGTTCATGCTACAAAGCACTGGCTTACAAAATATTTAAAAAACATAAATTGATCTACCAGGTTTCACCAAAGCCCTCTGGAGAATCCACTTTTTTACACACTCATATTCAGCATGCAGTATGATTCATCTGAGAATATCTAAAAATCCCTCACCACTAATGTTTAATCAAATTAATTACATTAAATAAATCTTCTTAGTACTTCAGTGTCATTAATTCAATTCCGTTTCTGTAAAGCATTACTAAATTAGATGTTAAACTGCACTACTATTTTATGGTCCAGTCTATTGTTAGCTTTTGAAATAAATGATCCCCATGCTCTTCTTTTATATGACCAGATATATAGGTGTCTCCATTTTAGTCTATTGTATGTATTTCAACATTTATCCGAGGGTCTTATTTCTACTTTCACATGCTAACCTCTGGCTAAAAAAAGAAACTTTAACATGAGCAGATGGTAAACTGAAATGTAGCTACAACCATACAAGCCCAACTGGCTTCTTTATGAATGTATTGTATGGTAAAGGATTCTTAATAAAAGTAGCATCCAACATATGCAATTTCTTTTTTTAAATTCAAAGGTGATAAAATATCATAATGATCCCATTCTGTTTTTAATTTTTTTTTCCAGTCACGCAAGTCAAAACCCTCATTTTCATAAACTACTAATGTCTATTGCTTAAAGCAGAACTATGGCCCTACATTAAAAAATTGTGTGCTGCCTCACTTATAGCATTTTCACTTACAGTTTTCTCTCCCCCTACAAAGTCAGGTCAGTGAACCTACTAGTGAAGTCCATTTAATGCAGCTTCCTGTGATGGGGTTGGCAAAGATGCTGCACTGCTCTTGAATTTAGAGCAGAGTTGCCACTCTCATGTATGTTGTGCCTATTTGCACTGCAGGTGGTGTGACTATCAGCATTTTCACTATTGATTCACGAGCATGTAGCTTGTCAATCTGTACTTGGCCACACCTACCCACTGCTTTCTGGTTTGACAACACTGCCTCTGTTGCCAAAATCTTTCCACTGTGATTTGAAGTGTCTGGAAAAGAAAAAGCAAGTGGGACACAAATGAAAGAAGATTTGGCTTAGTCAGGGAAGGTTAAGGAAGTATTGGCTTGGACATCACATTGTAACTGGATTTGGTACTTTACATTTTAGACTGTCATACAGGAGCCTTTAGTTGTACTTTAAATTAACCTTATTTGAAAGAATTACTGAGGTTTTCTTCTGAAAATGTTAGTTGTGTACTTGTTATGCTGAATTCCTGGTTTTAATTATGTCTGAGTTACTGGGCTTGATTTACCAAAGGCAAATAGGCTGTTCACTTTGCAAGGGAATTGTCACTGGTGAATGTGGTAAACTTTGCAAAGAATATCCCATGTACAAGGAAACAAACAGAACAGTATTTTTGCTTGCAGAAGAATGGGTGATTTTCACCTCATTCACTAAGCTAAGAGGAAACTTCACCTGCAAAGTGCAAATTCCCTTGCAAAATTAACAGCCTTATCTGCCTTTAGGAAAACAAACCCAATGACTCAGTACAAATATGCAGATCTTAACCTCCCTGGCGGTATTCCCGAGTCTGGCTCGGGGTTAATTTTCAGTACCAAGTTTCAGTACCAAGAGCGGTAATCCCGAGCCAGACTCGGGATTGCACAGAAAAGTGTCACTTACTTTGTCCCTGCGAGCCCGCGGTGTCCTCTGCTGTACGCAGCCGGCCGATGCCGGCATCTGAGTTATAGTTTCGTTTTCAGGCGTCACAGCGGGGGGCGGAGCCGGCGGGAAATTCAAAAGTGAAAACATGACATTTACACAGAATACACACAATACAATGTAATCTGCTATGATTACACTTATGTATCAAACTATTTCACTTCAATTTTGTCCCTAGAGCTTTGTCCTGCCTGCACTTTTACTGTTCTTTCTGCCTGGAAACTTGTGAACGTCCATGGCATCCAAAAAGCGTCCCTTTAGGTCAAAAGCGGTTTTAGAACAGGTAGAAAACAGTGATAGTAAATTAGAATCGCTTGCAGAATTGAGCGATAGCGATTCGTGTGGAAATTCTTTATCAGACACTGAAAGTGTCAGATGTCTTTCAGTGTCTGATGACGCATTTCCCAACGAATCGCTATCGCTCAATTCTGCAAGTGATTCTAATTTACTATCGCTGTTTTCTACCTGGTATAAAACCGCTTTTGACCTAAAACAGCGATGATTCTGCGACCGAGCTCAGTGATGTGCGAACTTGGTACTCTATTGACTGTGATACGGATCAGCACCCAGAATTCCCATTTATTTTTTTTAGTAGAGCTGCTTTTCTCACCAGGGATAAAACTTTGCTCCCCCTCTTTGTACATACTTGGAATGGTATTGTATTTTTCTTCCTATGGTTCTCCCAGTGTCCACTTCAGTGAATGCATCCTGGCTTTTTCCCTCTCCTATTGGTGGCTACTCTGTAAGAAAGTTTCAGCAACTGTTGGCTTGACCTGGTATTCGTTTGGATGATTTGTCTTGGTGACATGCCCTGATCTAGTCACTTAATTCTAAGTCCATTTTTCATTGTAAAATGTTTTAAAGTTGTTTTAGCTTCACTATTCAGTGTGGTCGCTTTCTTTTTTTATTAAAACCCTATAACCCCAGACATAGGAGCAAGTGCCCCCTCCAGTACAATTCACAACTATTCTTGTTTCGGTGACAGCTATAACATTTTGGATTTCCCGAAACTTTCTGTCCCCGTAGGACAGAGGCAGCAATACTATCCAGAAAGGGGTTCTAACCTATCCCTACTTTTCTAACTGAAATAAAATTTTAGCTTTGGATACATGTCAATCTTGTCAACTGTGTCATGCTGAATACTGTATATTCAATATATTTATATACTTTATTTCTATAAAGCCAGTTGGGTATTCTAAACAGTAGTAGAACAAGAAACACGGTTCAGTCTTTCACCTAAACTCTCCCTGTTTCTGTCGGTCAGAGTGTCAGGATTTGTATTGTTTGAGACTAACAATATATGTAACACTAGACTATATACCATACTGCTGGCAACACAATCTATATTTTCTTGGCCTGTCTTGTCCAACTCTGTTATTTCTCTTTTGACTCTATTGGATTCTTTAATTTCTTTCTGAACATAGACAAGACAATTAAACAAATGTGTGTTCACTGTGGCTTACATTTGGTATTCATTAATGAAGATGAACAACATTCACTAAAACAGCTGTTTGATTTAAGTTATTTTCTTGTTTATAGGTGGTATACTAGCCCAACTACTGTCAATGCCTTTTACAGTGCATCAACAAATCAGATCAGTAAGTACCGCTTTCGGCTTTTTCTCTTACATTAACTTGCATTGGCTTTATCAGTGTGATGATGTGGTTTAGAAATACGGATGCCTATAGATGTAAGAAGTACTCTATAATATGATTGGTGTAGTAAGGGCATCTTTAAAGTGAGAAAACATGATGTAGGATCTAATATTATGATACACTGACATTGTACACATATTTTTGTTGAAAGTATATAAACATAGTGGTATAGGATTTTGACAGGTTGATCAATGACAGGGAACCTTTATGTCTGCATCAGCATGTTATGATATTATGCTTAATATGTAAACCAATTACTATAATTATTCATATCTCTTCTTATGTGTATATAGGATTCCCAGTTGGAGAGCTCCAAAAACCTTTTTTTTGGGGAACAGAATATCCACGGTATGTTAATAGGCTAGAGTAAAGACAAAATATATCATAAAGATAAATGGTAAAGAAAATATATTAAAGTGATAAACTTATGGGTACTGCAGTATTACAGAGCAATAATAGATATTATACACTGAAAATGACAGCTAGAGCTAGATGAACATTTTGGCAGTCGGGACCATATGAAAGTTAGACTCCAGGCAAATCATAAAACAGGAACTAGCCCATATGCTGCCAATGATAAATATAAACATATTACTTAAAAATATAATTATAAATGTAGAGGTGTGTTCCCTAAGCTTTAGGCACTTTTTATTTTGCTGTTTTATAAAAGTCTCTCTCATATTGCTGTGTCCTAGAGTTCTCTCTGTTACATTATCTGCCAGACTCTGTTTAGTAGACTTCGGGATGTTGTGTCAGAGGTGTAACATGTCTGCATCTGCCTGTTTGTTAGCTTGCCATTCCCTAAGGAATTTGCATCTTTGCCTTTGCAAAAAAGATGTAAACTGTGCTTGAACCCCTGGCTGGAGCCCAGTCTTGAGGGTCTAGCCCTTAGTAGACTTAATGCTGGAGGGAATCTGTGTATCTGAGAAGGCCTCAACTAAGCTCATCTTGTGTTGAGGACACTAGAGTTATGGGACATTGGAGTAGATGCAAGAACCTACATTGGAGAGGTAGCTGCAGTCAGATGCCTGGTACAGAGTCCAACAGAAACTGTAGGAGCCAAAAGTTATGGGTATACCACCTTCTCATCATGAATTTTTCAACAAAATTCTTAAACAACATTTGGACTGGACTGCCTTTCTGCGGAGGAATAAGTGATAACAACCTGAAAATAAGGTATTCTTAGTTGGGGTCTCACTTGCACTACTCAAGGCCAAATAGAGTAGAAGCCCTGCCATAGAAACATACCAGACAAGTTCCATATCTCCCACTTATGCTGGGTTTTAGTTTACACAGATTTCAATAGCATCACAAGTCATAATCTGTCTAGGGGTGGTCAACTCACATGACCCCCAGAATAGGGCTACATAAATATCAGTTTTTAATCATTAACAATTGACTCCAGACTTACTTTGTGCATTTGTTGGTTTTAAAAAGATGCACTAATAAATACTCATGTATATTGCAATCTCATCTACTCATTGGTAACTCATTATAACTACAACGCCCAATACATTGCATCAGTGGTATGTTGAGGGAAATACAGGGGTAAGTAATGAGAATATCAGTATATTTTAATACTCATTACCTCTAAAACATGCATCCTTTTTTTGTTGAGTCATTCATTTTAATGTCCCCAATTTCTAAATCTAAATGGACCCTTTTTATAAAGCAGAAGTACAGAAGGTGGAAGAACCTACAGTTGCTTAGGCTATGGGAAAATGGCCTAAATATGGAAGAGGTGACAGGGAAAGGCATAGAAGGAGGAAAATGACATTCTGTTAGGTTATTTTTATGGATGCACTGATACCGTCTTTTCGGTATGGAGTACAAGTACCGATATTTTTTTCCGGTACTCACCGATACCGAACACCGATACCAATACTGGAAGACCCATTAAGGAAGCTGGGTGACGTGTAATGACTCAACGTCCAGCTTCTTGATTAGCCGGGAAGCTGGGCCATGTGTAACGACTTGCGGCCCGGCTTCCTGATCAGCTGGGAAGCCGGCTCCATGCTCCCTCATCACCAGGTCGGCTTCCTGATTAGCCAGCTTCCCGAGTTTTATATTTTATTATTTTTTTACTTTTTCATCACTTTTTTTATTTTAATTATTAGTTCTTATTATTTTTTTAAAATTTTTATTTATTTCATTTACATTTTTATTTAATTTATTATCTTTTACTTTTTTATTTTTTATAAT